GCCTTATAGAGATTCTAACAAAAAAAGAATTGAACAACTTTTTAAAATTACACTCCATGAAAGTGAGTGCACTTCAGTGCTTCAGAGCAAGTGTTTCAAACTGGAGAATTAAATAACAAGTCAAGCAAATGCAATGCAAAGCTCAGCTGTCATTTCCTCTGAATGTAAGTTAACAAAAAGGTGAAAAGAAATGAACCTGAGATTTTAAAATGACTCCCAGGAATTAGGACCTTGACTTTTCTCATTTTATGCTCATCTCCTCCCAGGATCTACTGTGTTGATTCATTTATTCAATATTGACTCTTGAGGAAGTATGATATTTTTTGAATTTCCTACATCAGCAGCTTTTCACTCAAGGTCTCCCATCCAATTACAGACACTGAATAAATATACTAAGCTTGTGCAGCATGACCTGGTCACAGCTTACTGCAGTATAGCTGTAAGTTAATTGCAATTTTCCCTTACAGTGACTTATTCACACTCATGTCATGTTCCTAAGTAGTAGTTTGGAAGATCTATGAATTTCATTAAAAGCACAATTATTCTCAGGGAAAACAAATCTTGTTGGATTAAATAAACACTGTAACTTTAGTTAAAGTGTTTAGTGGCCTTTTAGCAGGCCAAAAAAAAATTGAGACAGGGCTCATTAATTTACAGAAAAAAAGCATGACTATTTTCAGAGTTCACTGTGTTGTGATGTGAGGGTTTTGCTTTATAGTAGTTGCATTGCAGTAGAGAGATTTAACCCAGCCCTTAGTCCTATATACCTTAATATGAAACATTTGTGTTTCGATTTTTCCATTATGTGTACCTGCATGTTTTAGGAAAGCTACTTACATCATTGCAGCAAGCTGTGGTGAACCTTTTTATATAGCACTACATTGTATTTTAGATACCATTCAAGTGAGGAGTTATGGGAGCAGCATTCAGTTCTCCACATAACGCATACCTAACTCAGAGAACTTTCTTATGCATCGATGCCTTTGTGCCTTGTGTTCCTTTTGTAACTGATTTATTCCTCCCTTTTTAGGCATGTTATTTTGGTCCTTTGAATCCTGCCTCAGCATCTAATGTGCCTAGCTTTAGCCCTTGACACAGAGCAGAGAAATTGATGGAATTTAAACTCGCTGAATATGGCCAAAGTATCACAAGGGAAGTTAAGAACTGCTTACTACCACATTGTAAAACACCCAGGCTTCCTATGTAAACAAGGCCAACACTAATGAAAAAAAAAAAAAAGAGAATGTTATTTTTGCTAATAAGTCAGGCCATTCATTTAACAGTACAATGATACAGTATTAACATATCTGGCTATTTAAAGCTGCATTCCACAGACCCAATCCTAAAAGAAAAAAAAAATGAAAAAAGAAAAAAAACTTGGCCTTGTAAAGTAAAGCTTTATGCATACATTTTCTGTCATACCTCAAGATGAATATTCTACCCTCTTCCATACCCATGATTTTCAATTTCCTTTCTTCTGTTTGACTAATGAGATAGAGTAGCATTTCTGCATGAGAGCGTTGTTTCAGCCTAATTAATATTCAAATAGCTTTGAAGAATGATTAATCAAGCTTAGGTTTCATAGTGGTCCGTTTTCTCTGCTTTCGTTTGGGAAGAGCTGTAGGTCTTAAAGCTGCAAGGTTTGAAAAAGTCCAGTGATAGTACAGGCAAAAAATAACATCAGACATACAAAGAAAAGTATGAACATAAACTTCCCACACTGGCCTATTTTCATGGTGTTTGGACCCCTTCAAATATTTATAGACATTTACCATATTTTCCCTTAGTCATCAGTTGGCCACATTCATACATACTTCAGCCTTTTAGTCTTTCCTCATAAATCAAACTGTGCAGCCTGTGATAACTTTTGTTACTTCTAGCTTAGGTTTTGCCAGTTTCACAACATCTTTCAGGGAACAAGGTTTATTCCAGTATTTGCAGGCTGAATTGTAATTGTTGCTACTCCTAGGTCAGCTGAGATGCTTCTTGAAGAAAGGGCTTGGCAATCTTGAATGAAACTTTCAGAGATGTAGGAGATATGGGAGATGAGAACTAGGCTGCACTGAGTGCGGGTCACTGTCCAGAGAGAGTTCAGACCAAAAGGGAGGTGCTTCTTTCTTCCAGAATTAATGCTGAGTGTGGTGCTGTGTTGATGCAGATATAAAACATAACCTTAGTAGAATTAAAAAATTAATACATGCAAGGAGGGGAGATGATATCATTCGTAGATATTAACAGAGGAAACAGACAGCATATCTAATTTGTATTGGGTGGGATAGACTGGACATAAAGCTTGTTAAGCTTGAGGACAGAGGAAGATGATAAATGGCAGAGTACGATCTTGGAGAGGAAAGGAGGAGTTGCAGAGTTTGTGCTGAGAATGGTGGCAAACTTCTTTCGGAGATGAGATGTAGAAAACTTCCAGCACCTCAAGTCAGGCCTCCACACCCGACCTGAGAATCTCTCCATTGACCTGAAATAAACATCCAAATAGCTCTGATGTGACCACAGCAATTCATAGAAAGGCATGTTGTAGTATACATCAAGAAACAAAGGTGAAAATACTCCTTTTAAAGTTTTACATGTCTTGTCATTTTGGTTGATTGGCAAACTGGATGAACCTACAGGCTTTCTGATGTTCTGATGTTTTCTTCAAATGTGAACTACAGAATTTGCAGCTGCCTTCTCAAAAGCGAATCAACATCTTAAGTTTTATCTGCAACCTAAAAAGTTAGGTGAAACAAAGTATGATACCCTTTGCTCATTTGGGCTTCTTTTTCAATCCCATGGCTTGCAGACGTGTTCCTTGCTTTGATATGTTGCTCAAGTTAGGCTTGCTAGACTATGTTTCCTAGATTAGCAGAAAAGGATGGAAAAAAATATCAGTGCAGAGAAAAGTTTTTCTTTCCAAATCCAATAGAATTAAATTCTGTCAGTGAAAGATTGTTTCTAAAATACATTGTCAGATGTTGCACATTTCTGTATGAAACAGGAACTCTTTTGCCAAATATGCATGGGGTACTTGTTCCGTGTTAGTGTAGTGCTTTTGTTGAGTTTCTGTCATTGGTCGAATAAAAATGAAGGCTGAGTTCGAAGTTCTTAGTCAATGTTGCTCTGAATATGCGGAATCAAGGCAGCGGGAAAAACGCTGTCCTATCTAAAGATACCACCGAGGCCAATAATGACAATTCCAGATAATTATAGTGGTTTCTCAGAGGCAGTTTCATTAATTTTCCGTATCTAATTTACATTGCAAAGATGAATTCGTTGTTAGTAAATGGAAAGTAAAATTCTGTTTTCAGATTGGTCAAGAAAGAGCTTTGTAGGGTAGGACCAGTAAGAATATATCAGTCATAGTCAATTAAGCCATCGAAGGGTCATCATGATGTGTTAACATGTTCTTGACATAGTTGTAGCCCATGTCAGCAAGTGCTCTTCCAGGTGATAACAAGGCCTGATCCATGTGTTGGACAATCTCGTACCTTTTCAATGATTAGTGCAAAGGGAGTCTAAAGGACCCAGTGACTGCCCTTCCTCTGGTGAGGGGATGTGTCATCAGGCTGTACTTTAGACCTGGTCTCTGTGGTCCCAGAAATGCAGTGTTGCCCTCTCCACCCATCACATGCATCTGGTGTCAGCACTTGGCGTTATTCACCACTGCGAGTATAGTATCACCTCAAACCTGTTCCAGGTTGGCTCACTTCTGGAGAGTGAGAGGAACAGATGAGGTGCATTTTTGAGCCATGAGGATACCAAACTACAGTTAGAACTAGAGAAAATGGCCTCAAGTTGTGCCAGGGGAGGTACAGGTCAGCATTAGGAAGAATTTCTATACAGAAGGTAGTCAAGCATTGGAACAGTCTGCCGAGGGAAATGGTGGAGTCACCGTCCCTGGCAGCGTTCAAGAAACGTGTAATGAGGCGCTTGGGGGCATGTTTTAGCAGGTATGGTGTTGAAGGGTTTACGGCTGGACTCAATGATCTTGAAGGTCTTTTCCAACCATTATGATTCTACTGTGTGAACCTGGGTTTACATCTTCTTGGGATATGGCACATAGCAGATTGGCTGACCAGCCTGTGAAGTTTCTCGGCCCTTGTGCTGCCCAGCAACTCCAGCAGCAGGCTTTGTGGCAAAGGACAGGCCGTGTTCAGAACCTGCAATCTGTAATTCCTCTGATTCCACCAAATATGTTTGTTTTTAATGCTGAATGCTTAACACACAGATACTGATACTTCCAAAATTCTTGAAAAAGTCCAGTTGTCAGAATTGTATATGCTATTCATTTATGATTAACACATTTATCTTTTGCAGCTGTTTTTGTGAGTATATGAGTGATTGCAAGGCAAAGATTATACACCTCCTTATCTTCCCACTTTCCAATTCTTTATGTTGCTATTCTCGCCTTTTTCTCTACATCTCATTTTTTATATTGAATCATAAAAACCATTAGATAGAAGCAAGGGTCTTTAGTGCTTTTTCCAACTTGGAAATTGAGCCTATCCCTGTGGATAAGCATGTATGGACTTAAGAGTTTAGCAGTGAGCTCTCTTCTGTGTTATGAGGCTGCTATTAGTGAATCAGTGTGGTGTCCACCACTCATTAAAGATCAAGGCAAAACAAATCCAACTCTGAAATTACATTGTTATCAATCTCTTTAAAGTCTTGGAATAGAAAAATAGCTTAAATGTGTGTCTGTGTGCCCTGCCATCAAGTCCCTTGTATAAATGCATCTCTTCCCCAAACACTATTGCCTCTGCTCAGCTGGAACTTTATCGAAAAGATTTCTTTTTTTCAGAAGTGAGCAACTACTATCAATAATTTCATTTACCAGCTGCTCTGAGTTAATTTGATTTTGTGGATTGGCTTTCTGGGAGTCAATATGAGAATTTAAATGCAAATCCTAATGCATGGTTTTATACTGTATTTTAAGACTTAGGAAGGGGAGAAATACTGCTATGCGTGCAGGAGCTTAATGACACTTTTGTATTTTCATTTTCAAGAGGCATTTGTCCCCTGAAGAGTTCCAGGAAGTCTTCAAAATGAGCATTGAGGAATTTGATCGTCTGGCACTTTGGAAGCGGAATGACCTGAAGAAAAAGGCCCTGCTTTTCTAGCCCCTCCCAAATAAAATATGTGCTTAATCAAAACAGAAAATAGTCTTGCCAGAACTATCACATGCACTTGCTGTTGAACCATTGTCCAGCTTCATTGTGTTATTATGTGTCGGGGGAAACGAAGGACAGATTATATGGCAGAGCACTGGAATACAGAGAATTTGCTAATTTTGCATGACCAGCTGGTTTTGTTGGTAACTCCTGGTCCTACCCGGTTTACAACATGCAGATATCTAGCTTTAAATTTATTGTTGCTTGCAGTTATTGCTTGATAAAACAGGAGGTTTTGAAAGGAAGAGCAAAAGGTGTAGCTGTGGCAAAGGAAATTCATCTAACATTTTGTTTCAGTAAGTTTTACAGCAGAGATGCAAGTTTTACAAAATCAAGCAAGTAATGAACACAGAATTCTCCGAGTGGGGAATCACATGTTATTAAAAATCTGGTAAAAGCCAAAGAAAAGCATGTCAGCAAGCAATTACTGCAACTGTTTTAAGTGTGGTACTTTTTAAGAATGAAAGCAAAACTATGGAAGCACCTTAAATCTAGTTCATATCCTTTAGACACAAGCTACTATCTTAAAGGTCGTATTTGTCTAAATGGTAACTAGCTATCTTTAATTACAACACAAGAGTTTTTATTTTATTAAAAATATATTGTGACATACAACACTTATAATAACTAAAATGTATAGAAACATACTTAAAAATGTAATCCCATTCGTCAGGAAAACTAAAGCCTTATTGAAAACTGGTTTAAGAGTGTATGGTGCCAGTAAACTGTGTTTTCCTAATATTTTGGGATGTTTGGAGAATTTTTTTTTACATTTCATGCTGATAAAAATACCATGTACTCTTAATTATATGTAGATAGATAGGTCTATCTATAAAATAATTATTTTCATTAATATATGTTCTAAATGAAGGCATTCTTACTTTCTCCACTTTCTGGCTTTACATGCTAAGCCATGAGAACTATGATGGCAATCGGTAGGTGTGGAAATGGAACAGTTCAGCATAAAATGTAACAAAAAAGCTTAATGTGCTCTATCAATAATATATCAAATTATAATCCAATATAACTATTATAAATTGCTCATGCACTAATATTTGCATGTTTCTGTAAAAATCAATCTTTAAAAAAAAAAAAAAAAAAACAACTATGTGATACCGGTGCAGTACCTTGAAACTTTATGTTAAACAACAGGCAAAGCTAACAAAATCTAAGCATTTGATATGAGCGTTAGACCTTAATATCTCTTCCAGCTGAAAGACTGTATTAAGTTTAATAATTTCATATGGTCAGAAGTACTGTCGCTGACAAAGAATGTTTTAAAGTGAGTTGCTAGTTTTGTGCAATGCTGAAATTGCATTACAGAAAGGTACATTTTTCAGCCATGTGTCAGTATTCTGTATTTTTACTGCCTTGAATGTTTGTACTCACTTCCTACTTCACTATGTCTTTTTGCATTTCCTTAAAGTAACTGATTAATATATGCACTACTACTCACTGGTTCAACTGACCCAGCATTAGAAATATCATAGCATTAAACATGCCTTCTTCCAACTAACTTTCAAAATCCATGCTGTTGGAAATAAATATTTTCTCATGACCTAAATGTTTTGTCTGATGATACAAATGTTTAAAAAATCATTAAAATTACCACATAACTCAGTGACTGTGCTAATGTACTGGTTCAACTGACCCAGCATTGGAAATATCATAGCATTAAACATGCCTTCTTCCAACTAACTTTCAAAATCCATGCTGTTGGAAATAAATATTTTCTCATGACCTAAATGTTTTGTCTGATGATACAAATGTTTAAAAAATCATTAAAATTACCACATAACTCAGTGACTGTGCTAATGTGTGTATGGATTGTACTGGTGCTCTGGATAGGTTCTTCCTGTAATGCTAGTGTGTAATTTGCATTAGATTTGTCCAGTGAGGGGAATACTCATTGCAAGTATACAATACTCATTGTAAGTATACAAGATGTATACTTATTGCTTAGTATACATCTGAATGTTGAGTACTGCAAAGTTGGTTATGATTTAAACAATACGGCTAGCAAATGCACACACACCTCACCAACCAAAAGTTACTTCATCGGTGGTGGTCCGTGTACATCATCATTAGCCAGTTGTGACTGAGAGCTCCTGATCAGCAGCAGCAGACAGCCTCTGTAACGCTCTTCAACCTCAGTATAGATGGTTGTGTTTTGCCTATACGTGAAAATTAACTGTTTGCTGGAACTGGCTGGTCCAAAATGTGACCAGCAAGTTTCCCTGATACCATGAAAATCCAAAGCTAGGGGAGCAAGTAGCTGGAGAATTACGATGGGTATGCTTGCCTGTCATTGACGAAGGCAGCTGTTCTCACCTACACCTTCTTTGGACATCAATTTAGTTACAGGCATTTTCTCAGTGAGAAATGAATTGCAGATGGATTGAAGAAATCCATATGCATATGAATATCAAGTTTGGTATGGATCTTCCTAAATGATTTGAAGATTGCTTAATCACAGCAACCATTGTACCAATGTAGAATTTAGCGTACCTTGCAAGGAAACTGTGAATTAGTAAGCAATGTGGGTGATCAGCAACTCTGTATCTTCTCTGTAACTTCTTGTATCCTATTCACATTTGTACGTCAGTTGAAAAGTGAGGACAGTTAGAATATGTGAGTTCTGTTTTATCTGTATTTGCTCTTTTGAGCCAGGTAGCATATCAGCAACTTAAGTGTCTGCTGAAAGTCATAGCCCTACCTGAACTAAATCAGATGTAGCTCTAGTTTTGCATATGCCCTATATAGATGTTTTATTCAATGAACATCAGTTTTCATGACAATGTACAACTGCATCTAGGAATGGTACCCCATCATTTATCTGTGTTTGCTTACAAATTAATTCTTCATTCTGGGCTTCCCATTATGGTTAGCAAAGAGAAGAACACATTTTCACCGCATCCTAATGTTCCAAATGAGCTGTGCACATTGAACCTACCGTGTCCACTGAATATAGAGAACGCCTAGCTGAGTGCAGATGTCTACACTGCAAACTACCTAATCTTAGATTCTTCCCATCTACCAGTGGCAGGATCAACAAGTGACAACAGTTGTCACTTCCTAGACCATGTTTCCAAATGACTTTCAAGGACTCAGTTTTATCCTCTGAATTGAACAGTCCTAGTGAAAGGCCTAAACATGGTAAATTTTTGTGTGCTTTGCACTGTTCACCAAGCAAGCATATACTAGATGCCAAACACGCAAAGATGTTTTATAAAATAGTCAATTTATCAAATTAGTTCCTACTACCAGCCAAACCATAAAGGAATTTTGGCTTCCATACACAAAACCCTTACTGCCTTGAGACAAACAAGGACTGTTTGAGTCCTTTTTGAGTTTGAGTGATACAATGTCAATGTATCACTCTATATTTAAAGCTTATACTGTCACATGGTGTGCAGACCTTTCCAGCATAACTAAATTCTCATTTACAGTGCAATACTGTATGCTAGTTTTGGTACAAGTGTAAAATGGCCCTAAAATGCACGGTGTTGTAGTTCACTGCTAAGTCTTCTGCACATCACCTAGCCTCTGTAAACCAGAAATAGCATAACAGGAGACTGCAAAAGTTCTGCTTCTAAAATATATTGTATTTTCCCCACTTTAACATGCAAATTGTAATTTTAGTAACTTAGCCTACTTTCAGCAACTTAGAGCATCTCATGAAATGCGAATAGACTAACATGTGCATAATCAATGTTCTGGTTTGTTTCTAGAGTCCATATGCTAAACTTAGATAGCATTATGAAATGGAAAATGCCTTTCAGAGTAATTACATCACTCTTTGCCAGAATTTTCCATCTAAGAGTGTGGTCCAGCACTGGCAGTTGCAAACCAAAGGTCTCAGTAAAACATCGGTCACTTTTTAGATATTGTTAGATATTGTTCCACAGTGGTGTTTCCGAGGAAATGCTGTCTTTCAGCATTTTTGTGACTATGCAGCTCTGCAACTTGTAAATATCAATGTAATTCATCAAGGAACCCATTTTGATCTGTATTCAGGAAGCAAGGGAATTCTGTCAGATTTCATTTTCATACTTGGCTCTGTATCTTAACTGTTTAGGACAACCCTGATGCATGACTTAATTCTCACCTCACGCATTGTAAAGAAGGCATATCTCAAACACAGCAATGAAAATGCCAACTGATTTCATCATCACAGGCTTTGAGACAAAGCAACACATGGATTTTTGTGGCTGACTTACTAATGCTGAGCCTATCTGGCCAACAAGGCCAGATAGGAAATCAGGCATGCCAAATTGCCATTATAGCTGTCTGAGGAGGCTGGACATTTTCTCTCCAACCTTCTGGTATTTCTTTTCCTTGTGGTTCAGTGGAGAAGAAGGCTGTAATTGCAGAAACAAGAAAATATATAATTTTGAGAAGCTACCTGGCATCTGATAATCGTTTGAGATGAAGATTCTTTTACATGAACCAAAGCAATATGTTGTGTTATGTGCCTCATTTTGACAAGGAACCACCTATTTGAACTTCCCCAAGCATGGCCAACCAGGCCATCAATTTTATTAGTTTTTTCACAGATCTGCAGGAAAACGGTGTTCTACCACTTGCAGATGAGCTAGACTGCATCCCAAACGCTGCCATCAGTAGGGCAGAAAGGCTCCCGAGTGTCACCACAGTCTCCTGACACTTTGGCATGTTTGTGAGGAAAGGCGTCATATTCCTTTAAATTTCCTAAGATCCAAATTGGCCCTTCCCAAGTGTGGTTACAGGATAGCTTGGAGGCACGGCTACAGTTTTGCAGCTATCTTGAATATCTGCAAAAGAGAAAAGACTGGTTTTGAGATTGCGATGATAGACTGCAACCCTCTTGTACATGTAAAGCTATCCTGGAGCTTGCATTTCTCTTCCAGGCCCAGGCCGCCTCTGATGCTTAGCCAAATCCTCACATGCTCACTGGAGGTGCTGGCTCAGGTTCGGGAGTTTTAGTTTCCTTCTCATTTTTCCTGTTCTGTGTAAAGCCATGTTAGAAATGGTGACATCCAATAAAAATGTGTGCCTTTGAAACATGAGGGCTCGCTAGTTTACTTCGCTGGTAATAAAGTTGTCAGCACACAGGGCAGACTGAAGCTGGTTTGTTGCGTTATTTCAGCTGGGTATTAGTTCCTCTCTGTATCAGCTACATCTCTGATTAAAGCTAACAGGAGTAAACAGGTTTATGTGTTATTTTTTAAGTGCTCTTACTTTGATCATTTAGTACCTTTTCTTCCTACCCTTCAGGGTCTGTCATCTTGAACGTTATGCAGGTAGGCATTTGTAAGTAAGTAGTTTCCATTTTTTAAATGATTGAACAAATATATGCAGCATTCAAGCCATTTTAGTGAAGGCCAATAGTCCTGTTCAGGCCTGGCCAACATGAGCAGCTCCAGGATGATCTGCAGGGAACCAAGAGCTGGCAAGGGAAACCACTCCCCATGAGTATCGCACAAAAAAAATACCATTTGTTATAAGCAAAATGGAAATCCTTGTTATCCTTTTCTGAATATTGCTAGATTTGTGTCCTCAATGATTTGCACTTGCATAGAGTTTTGCCATATAATCCCATGTTGTACCAAACATCCTTTCTTATTCAGCTACTTTTTAGCATAGTTGTTGATACATTAATGGTATGATTCAAAAGTTCCTCATCTATTTTATCTGCTTGCTGTGGTGAACTCATCTATTACATCCTCTTACTCATCTCCCTGCTAAGAATCACAGACTTTCCTTCTTTTTCTTTTTTTTCCCCTTTTTTTTTTCTGACAGGAAAATCTTTCTGTGGCTCTGATCATTCTTCTGTGGGCTCCTCTCAGTCCTTTTTGAGATCTGTTGTACCTTGTACTCAGGAGGTTGTCCGACCTGTGCTAAAGGCATTGCAATTTTCACCTCATATTCACCATGCTATGTCAAATGTACTGCTAGCATCTTCATTAGGGGAAGAAGAAAGGTAGTTTTTTTTTTTTTTTTTTTTTTTGCTACAAATGCATACTTTACGCTGAGGACCTTCTTGACCTAATTGCAATATTGCAAGCTGCTTTCCTGATGGGACATGCTTCTAAACTACAGTGTAAGAATCATTTTAACTTTTCCTACTACTCTCCAACACCTTTTAATTTACTGTTAAATAGGTAGCGTAATAGAAAATTGAACAGCTCAAGTTGTCAGTGGTCGGTCTGAATTTACCTACAGTTTTCTAGCCCAGAAAAACTTAGTTTAGGAATCACTTACATAATCTCGATGTCACTTCACAGTTCTACTAATCAACCCTTAAAAAACAACAACAAAACAGATAAATCATGTGGGAATTCATGCCAACAATCTAGGCACCTCAGGTTTATCTAATTTATACTGGAGACTTTTCATCACCTAGCTAGATTTTCTTAGATGGCAATACATGCAGGACTTCATGAGAGGCACTGCATAAGACATAAATAGCATAAAATTGTTGAAAACACAGTATTTTTGGTTTTATACATTACCACTGGCAGGAAGACTCTGCTGCCATAGGTTTCTGTGAGGGGCTGAATTTCAGAGCAGAGAACCTCTTCCAGGGTCTATAAATGTTCTCTGAAAGTGTTCTATACACACGGGATTATCTGATGA